TAGCACACACTGGCCTCATTGCACACACCCTTGGTAGTAGGCTTCAGGGGATTGCGCAACACTCATTTTCTTCCCCTCTTCTGATTACGCACAACCTGTCTGTGACCCTGAAAGTAATAGTTCCAGATTAATCACATTTATTTAAAAATGCCTACCTTTACAGAAGCCTCAAAAAGTTGTTTCATTCGGACTCTGCACGAGATGTGGTTATTGTGGTATGAGTTGCATTGCTACAAACCAGTCAAAAAAGTGTAACTCATAAAAAAAAAAATTAGAATGCATTGGCCACTAAAGCAGTTTATTTATATTTGACTAGAAATACAGAATACGCTTGTTTTCCTTTTGTCACTTTTTCTAGTTTTGCAGTCTTCAGTTAGTATATTAGTACATTACCTGTCACTAGAAACATTACTGTTTCCCTCTTATTTGTGTTCACCTTCCATGCTTGTTCGCCCAAGCTCTCTTCCTAGTGCGAAATGCCTGCCATTCGCCATCTTCATAACCAGAAGGCGGCTCAACTTTTAGCTTGCCAGCAATGTGGCACAAGCTGTAGACCACAGTGCTAATTGGCAGGCAGGCTGTGTTTGATGCCTTTTTTATGGATTTCTTTTAAGGGCATCAACTTTGTGCTTATCCTGCGAGGAATGGATGTTATGTTTGACAACCTCAGTGCTCAAAGCTTTGGAGCTGAGCCCGTAGTAATGATATTTCTTGTACATTAAATTGTTGGGCTTTTTTTCTTATTCCATCTGCTAGTTGTGTTTAACACCTCAAGTAAAGGTTTGGCAGAGCGTTCCAGCAGAAATGGGCCTCCTTTTCCCCCATTCCCTGATTCTGCCAGTGTTTTCAGGATACAGCTGGTAGATCAGGCCCAAGCTCAGTGATGCAGTGATAAATGAGACAGGGAAGATTAGGTTCTGCAAGGTAAATATTTAGCACGCCACAAATATGTGAAGCTCTTAGCCTTAGGCTGTTGTAATTCGTGTGTTCCCCAGCAGGCTGCAGAGGTTTTCACCCAGAGTTGTGTCTTTCTCTCCTGCTTAAGCCTGCTCCTTGTCTAGTGGAGCCGTAGCATAGCCCAGTCCAGTGAAGTCTTAATGTGTATAGAAATCTGTGGCATTGCAAATGAGCAGTAGATCCGGTGGACAGCTATTAAATGAGCACGTGGGCTTGACCCAGTGAGCAAATCGGGACAAGAGTTTCCGGCAATGTAGAGTAGAGCTCTTGTGATCAGGCACTGTTTGATGTTTGGTGACAAATAAGGGGTTTAGGATGTGTGATTCTTGGAGCATTTCTTTTGTGAAGAGGCGAGTATGAAGAACATCTAAAAGTGCAAAGACGACAGGTTTGGTGACGGGTTTTTTTGTCTTCTTTCGCACTGCGGTGACGGCACCTTCGAAGTCAGCGGACAGATTTTTCCGGACGGACTTGACGCGCTGGTTGCCTCCGGCCACGCGCGAAGGTAGGCAGGCCAGCGTGCCGGCAGGCGCCCCCCCCGTTCACGCGGTCGCGGGAGGGGGCTCCCTCTAATCAGGAGGCTGCCCCCCCCTTTTGGAAACGCACTACAGCGTGCGAAAAGAACAACAAAAAATAGACGCCTACGCCGCCTGTCGTTCTGAAGGGCCGCGTTTTGCGGTTCATGGACCCTCGTGATTTGGAGTCTTGTGGGCCGGATAGAGTACAGCAGGAGCCCTGGAGAAAAGCATGTCGTTTGAGAAAGGAAACGAAACCCTCGAGCAGCAAAGCAGAACTGGAGTGGCAAGGTTTTCTTCTTAGTGAGGAGGGCGGCAGGTGGCGGGGGTATGAAGATCTTTCTCAGTATCCTTTTTAGTAAGAGTTAAGAACCTGGGCACAAGTGAGCATTCAGCGGACATTCCACATCATCCTTCGGAACTGCATCTTTGCTTAGAAAATCTTGCATCTTTGCTTGGGGAAAAAAACTAGGCCACCAAAACATCTTTGTCTGTCACAGCTTTCAAAGCCAAGTTGGTTGTTTTTGTTTGTTTTTTTTTTGCTCCTCAACCTAAGAAGGTGTGGAGATTCGGATCCAGGGAGCAGAAAAAAAATGATCCCGACTTCGGAAACAGCCAAGTCAGAAACGACCGCCTTTCAGCCCGACCTCATCACACGATCCTCCCCTGCTAGTGTCATCCTAACAGAGCTCTCTGTGTAATTATTGGGAAATCTGTCTCGGGCAGGCATCCTGCTCCGTCCTGCCAGGCTTGTCACAGGCACGTTTGAAGTTTTGTAGGTGTAAGTGAATCCTGGCAGACTGAAGGAGAGCACTGCAGGTAAGAGCCAGGCTGCTTCAGAGGCTGGGCTCCGACCGAGGAAGGCGCAAGAGGAAGAGTGTGGAGAGCTAACGGTGCTGTGATATGGGCGGGCCTGAAACCAACCGCGACGCGGACGGTGTCAGTGGCGATGGTGATTAAAAGCCCTGCAGCTCAAGTATAAGTGAAGGAGATCCTTACCTGGTTGTTAGCCCCTTGGTCTTTTTCCTCCCACCTCTTTTGTCAAAGCTGGCCCCCTTGCCGAACTGGCGGAGATGTTCAACATGCAGTCCCTTCTTCTGATAACGGCCCTCTTTGCACCGGGCGGGGGGGGGGGGGGATAAAACTTACTACTCCTGCTGCTATCAGTCTCCTTCGCTCTGTTTCAAGATAATTTGACTTGCACTTCCTTGAGGAACTAATTTTGAATCCACGCCCCTAAAGTATCTGTGTGTGTGTGTGCGTGTGCGCGCGTGTGCTGCCTCTCTCTCTCCTCTGTGCTGACTCTGTCGTTTCTTTGTGATCTGATCTCTGCGTGTCCTGGCTCGTGCAATCCACAGAAACTATTTTGCAACTCTCCAGTAATGCTGCTTTTTTTTTTTCAAAAAGGGGATGTGTTGGCCCGTGTGTTTGTGTGTCTCCGTAACCATTCGCAGCAGAATTGTGTATCTTTTTCTGTTTTGGTTGAGAGTGAAATTGGCGCTTGCAGTTCTGTCTGTTCTGCTGACTGCTGAGTTACAGCTGGGATGATAGACTGGACCTGCTGGCTGACGCATCTAATGCCCGTGGAACTAATCCACGGGCCTCGTGCGTTTCTTCCAAAAATGATCTCGAGGCATTGTCTTGTGGCTGTGGGAGACTGACCCGGAACAGTGGGTCTGCAGTAAATTTGCTAAAGAGGAACGGCACATTGAAGAAAGGTTTTGACTCCATCATGCTAACTTGTCAACTACTGTAAATATTCACATGAGTGTACAGCGGTGAAAACTGAATTGTTTGCTTTTTTGCGTAAAAAAAATGACAGTTTATTTTCAGGTGTCTTCACTCTGTTCCAGTTGTACTTTACTCCAATGCGCGGTATGTAGCTAAATCCCCTCTCTTATTTTTTTTCCAAGCACAGAACAAAACAATCAGGGCGGAGAGTTTGAAGTAAAAGCCGGTGTCAGCTGGGTCATGTTACCAGCCAGTTGTGCCTGAGATCCCCTAAAAGAGCTGGCTTTTGCCTCCTGCTGAAACAGCGACTCCTGTGAAGTTCCCAGGCATCCGTGAGCTTACATTTAACATCGCCTGTCCATCAGTTGGCTTTTGTTAGTGGTTGTGGAGTTAGGAAGGAAGTCAAAAGATGAACAGCCTGCTGGGAGTGCAGCTCGCTGGGCAACTGTCTGTAATTCCACGTTCTCTACAGGTGGGTGAAGGAGTCCCCACGTGCCGAGGTGCAAAAGACACAACTGGAAAAACCCAACAGCAAGATTATATGATAAAAAATAGTTGATTCTATGGGGGGGGGAATGCAAGTTGATTCCAAATTCAGGACAGGTTGCATCCAAAACAAATGAGGGATGGAGTCCGGGAATGGAAAAAAAAAACACTCTTCCCATCTGCTGCAGGTCAATCCGCAGTGGAGACAAAGAGGAAGTTTTCCTTCTGCCTCTATCATTTCCAGCCCCGTGCTTCCCGCATTGCAGCCAGAACGGAAACTTGAGGGAGGAACGGCTTTGCGGAAAATGAATAAATCCAAACGATAAAAAAAAAAATGCCTCAGAGAAAAGCCAAACAAAAGAACTGACCCCCCCCGCCCCACTCCCAGCCAAATCCAGCGGTTCATTCAAGGTAGCAAGTGGCCTCTGGGTATTGCAGCACTCTTACTGTATGCTAGTCGTGGTGGTTTAGTAATGTAAAGCAGGGGGTGTTAGCTCTGATCCTGGAGTCCCAGATGCACACCTGCACGTTTTTGTTCCATTCGGCCGCCATTAGGTAGCTGAACCCTTGATTACCTGGATCCATCCACCCGTTTTCCAACGGCCTCTTCTGATTCATGGACCCACGCGGGGCTGCGGGAGACTTGCCTCGATTAACTAAATAAGAGGATTAGCTTAAACTGCTTTTAACTATTGAAATAAAATCCTGAACCTGTATGAGTAGTACGAAGTAGTAGAGCATTCGGATCGTCCAATCAGGTGAATCCAGTCAGGGCCCCTGTCATTTAATTCAGCTTGGCTGGAGCGCCTGGTGTTGGCCTCTGGGATCAGGATTGAGTTTCCGTGCTTTGAAGTACAGCAGGTTCCCAGTTCGAGACGGTAACCGAGTAAGATATTTGGTCCTCTTTGTGCTCCGTCTTCTGGAGGACATGTCAAACCCGAGATCCTTATCTTCACGCACCCTGTGCGTGTCAGAGGTCACCCAATCATCCCTGAAAAGCACAGGGATGTGCAAGGATGTCTTCCGATTGGAGAAGATGAATCCTTACTGCTGCTGTGCCCACAGAGGCTTCTTAGGGCCTCAATGCAGCAGGCTCCATTCATCATTGTGAGCAACCTGCCTGGTAACGTGAATGCTGGTATTTCCTTTATGTATTATGTATTTGATGAATTCTGTCTTTTAAACTGGTCTTGGTACAGCTTCCAGAGCTTTTCCTACTTTTTACTTTTCTTTTTCTTTAATTTTACCTTTCAAGATGACCGTTTACTAGGGTGTAACCCTACAGGGTCTTGTTTTGCTTTGACTGCAGAACTAGGTTCACATCGCCACAGTCAACATGAAAGTAAAATTGGAGGATAATTTACAGAGAAAGGGCAAAATCTAGAAGACGGTTATAGTGCAGTTTCCTTTGACTGTGGCAGATTTTTCACAAGCGTTACTTCCTCTAACTCGGCTGTGAGCTGTTTCTTTAATGCCATTTTGCTCCATACAGAAATACACTTTTTTTTGTGCAAATAAATGCTTGGGAGTAAACTTTTAAAACTAAGATGTCCCTTGTGCTCAGCCGTGACTCAGTCGCTAGCTTTTGGGTCTGCTTGTTTAGACCAGGACGAGGATAAAGGGATGTCACCTCACTTGACAGGTCACAGCTTGTTTGCAGAGAGTCCATGAAGTTGTGACATGCAGTAAACGCAGTGCTTGTGTCTGGATTATGATCTGAAACTCAAAATCTGACTTGACGTCCCCACATTTGTCTCAGAAACCCCGAGAACTGGTGCTCATTTGGTTGTGATTTTTCCTGGCAGCTCAGGGTAATAATCACACCGACAGATACTGTGAGAAGCATAAAAGAAGAGGCTCTGTCTCCCTAGCAACAGACAGGAAGTAAAGTAAGAGCGGTTTCCTGATCGCTTCCTTCTTATCGTCTAATGACATCTCACAAGGAAATGACTTGAGAGACCTCTGATCTCTTGATGGTTGTTAAGTCTGTACTTCTTCGGTCAACCCTGGTCTTCCCAGAACAATGTCGTCCTTTTTAAGACATCTGCCTCGCGTTTCGGAGGCCTAGCTAATTTTGTCTACGCTTTTCTGTTCTCAATTTGTTGCGTTTTCTGTGACTAATGTCTCGCTGTAGTTGTGCCCGTGGTACTTTACCACTTCTCGGTTCCTCACACATACAAACAGATTACCTTCTTGTTCTCCAAGTAAAACTCTTTCAAGAAGTACAGTGCAAGCCTGCTAGAATAACCCCATTGCCAAATGTTTCAAGTATTAGCTTTCTTTAGCACTTCTTTGGCTGCGGTGGCGTTGTCTCACACTTGAGCCAAAGCCTTCCTGCTCTCAAGCCTGCACAGCTTCTGATGGGAGCTCTCAAACAGCTGCGGGGGAAGATTATGAACGTTGCGCAGGGATGTGAATCCTAATTGCTCAGCATTTTTTCATTTTTCTTTCCAGGCATTTGCAAAACTGATACCCCTCTTCTCTGTGGCTTTCTCATACTCCGGTTTGAGAGACCTTTTTTGTCAGACCGCTTCACTCTCTCACTCAGTCAGCCATGTACTGACTGATTGCATTGGCATTTAGTTTGCTCAAAACGTCTGAGAGGAAACGGCAACAGGGCGTGTCGAAGCAAATTTTTAATGATGCCTTTGCATCTTAATCACTTCAGTACTGTACATTGGCTTGAGCAATGGTGATGGCCTCTTGCTGGGGTGAATGAGTGCTCTATGAATGTGGATGTGTGTTCACCCAAAGCACAGGGGCTGCTGGCTTGCTGTAGCATCAGGAGGAGATCAGGTTGTGGTATTAGTCAGCACTGAGTCTCCTGTCAGAGCTCTCTGGGCGACAGAAGCTGGAGGAGTTGGGAAGCATAACACGGAGCATTGCTGCTTGTGTGTGAAACTGTACAGAACGCAACCACAGCGAAGTGGGAAGGAAGTGTTTTTGACCAGGAGCAGTCTTTTCTCTCACCCCAGATAGTGAGCACAGACACGCAGCTGAGGCAGAATAAGACGAAGGCATGGCATCGCGTGCCAGGGCCAGACTCTGAAGCGGCTGTAAAAACGCGCCGTGACATTTCCTTTCCCCGTGTTTACCTTTGTGGTTGCTCGGCATCGGCAGTTTCAGAGCACTCTTTCCCGTTGTCTCGCAAGTCAGCATCAGGTGTGGCTTTTTAAAAAAATGTAATTTGTCTGTTCACTCATCCCCCTTTTTTTCGAGGCTGCTCCTGTAAAAAAAACCCCAACACTGCCTTTCCTGGAGACAAGCTAGAGGAAGCTTGGGGGGGAAGGGTTTCAGTGTCGCACAGGCTGCAGAACATGGGCTTTTGGTGGGAGAGTCACTGGGTTCCTCCTCCCCATCTCTGAGGCCGTGTCCCAAATGCTTCACTACGCCCTGAGCCCTTTCTCCAAGTCCACATTTCTGTGACGCAGCGCAAGTGTGAACGTCGAGTGTGCGAGGGTGCACCATTAAAAAAAGGGCAATGGAACACCCTTGCATCATGTTGTGTAACCAAGAAGCTGGAGCACCTGGAGGAAACCCACGTGAACACGGGGAGAACAGACTCCCTCCACACAGATGGCACCTCAGGAATTGAGACCAAGGCCCCCACACTGTGAGCTAGCAGTGGTAACCAGTGATTCGCCCTCTGTAAGAAGGTCTGGAATACAGTGTAAGATCCCTTTATCCCCAGAAAGCAAAGTCTCTCCGGGTTTTCAACACGTCTAGCCGAGTGGGACTTCTTGCATGTAGTTTCGGACTTAAGCTGCAGTTTGATATCAGGACTCTAGTTACTGCAACTAATTCGTTGTGCTTCTGCTCTTGATATAAGGGGAAGCCACCATCCCTTGGCTCATGCCACACTGAGCCTATGGGATGTCCTGGGATCCTTGGTAAACGTCCTTTCTGTGTCAGTGACATGCGGAAGAGCTAAGATGAGCATGAGCACAGGATAAAATAGCATGAGCACGTGGCACTCTTGCGCAAATGCAAATGCGAACAGAATTCTCCCCCCCCCCCCCCCCAGTCTGTGAGGTATTAACCCAAGGGACTTTTTGCCAGGGTTATAAGATCGCCTCCGAAACCAAGAACATATCTTATGTTAGGATGAAAAAGGAAGTGAAGGAAATTGCAAAGATACTGTATGGTTGCTATCTGAAGTGAAAAAACACACTGACTCGTTTTTAAAGGAGATAAGTCTAAAATAAAAAAGTGCTGATAGGGTTCTTTCTAAAGTAAGTGGATACCAGCTCATTGACAATCTTGCCTTGCAATGGTAGTGATAGGTGATATTTAAAAGGGAGGAATTAAGGTTTTGGGGTCTATTTAATAACTTCTCTTCAGCTTACAACGGGAGCCTTTCGTAACGTTGATCAAGTGTGATTTGTCTTTTTTTTAAACCCTGCAAAATTGTAACTATTTCTTAAAATAGTCTCCTTGTTGATTAATTCAGCTCCAATGAATTTTCAAACATGTAAAAAGCAATATTGTCTGCTATTGCCTGTGAATATCTTGATAAGTGTGTCCTGGGTTATCACAATGTGTTCTTCAGAGCACACTGGATAAAGTAATCTGATTTAGGTTGTGCTGACCATGTTTCAGCTCGGCTTTCAAACCTGCACATTTTGCTGAAAGATGCTTTCTTTATTGCTACTCAGCTTGCAGCCACTCCAGTCTGTCCCTTTATGCAGAACTCTAACCTGCTCTTTAATTATTTAATTGATAATTAAAAGGTGCAATAAAGCAATTAAGGAGCTGGTTGCATTAGAATACTACAGTGGAGTGGATTTGTAAGGCCTGATGTGGGTCATGGGAGCTGTCAATGTTTCTGTGCTTCTTGTGACACTACAAGAAAGCTTCTTTCTTGATTGCAGTGGTATTTTATGTGCTAAATTTGTAACACCTTGTTTCAAAACCAGTATGATTATTTTCAGCATCTGCCTAGCCACCCCCCTGCCTTCGTTATTAAAGTTGTCCTGGTTTACGACTCTCCCAGGGAGATCAGTGTGAGAGAACAACAAGGGCATAGGGCTTTGATCGAATGAAAATAGATTTCTTTCTCACAGCCTTCAAATACCCGGGAATTAGTCACAGATCGCTGTTGATTTCTTTTGGATTATTCCGCTGAGCTCAGAGAGGAGTAGAAAAGCGCAGAGTGCACCCATACTCTTGTGAAGAGTTTTATTAGATTCCTTTTTAGTATGTTATTTACATGCAGAAGCACAAAGGGTCATGCCGTATCTCATGTTTTGTGTGATCCCCTTCTCTTTTTTTGCAAACCATGCAAAGGAACACACTGAAATACCAGTTCCCAAGCCCAAGCCAACCAGCTTGGTGTGCACATATTTAAAATATATAAAGTGTATGTATAAATAAATACACTAAAAATGCGTACAACTCAATCACAGGAGACATGTAATTTTCTTATATGATGAAATGTGGCCTTTTCAGAAATAAAGGGAGAATTTAGGGGAGCTGTATTGTACTGATACGGGTTTTAAAATCCTGGAGGGTATTGGCAGACATCATCTAGCAATCGATTTCAGGATCAACAGAGAAACGGGGTGAAAGATAGAATCAAGGGAAAGGAGTTAGTTTAGAACTGAGGGAAGGAGGCAGTTCTCCCACTTAGAGTCATGGGTGTTTCTTTCACAAGGTGGAAGGATGAGATCCTTAGATCAATAAGCCACTGTCAGCCTTCCATCCCTTTTCGAACTGCTTCTTCCACTTCAGGGTCGCAGGTGAGCCGGAGCTCTTACACCCTGGTACAGGACGGCAGTCTATCAAAGGGCATCAGCTGTCAGCCAGCTATGTCTTGTTGGTAATTTTTCTTAATTGTGTATCAATGTGGTTACTGCGTTGCAAAAAAAAACGACTGTGCAGTTTTTGTAATTTGTTCCTGAAAGACCATCAAGATGAATTATTGGTTGTAAGGAGGTGTCGTACACAAGCAGCTTTGAGGAGCCAAATCTGTTTAGTTGTGAGCAGGGACAGTGCCGGAGTATTTTATAGAAGTATATAAAATCATTAGAGGTAACCAAAGTCAGCCTGTAGGACTTTATCTGGGGCTGTTAAGGAAAAGGACCCTAAGAGACAAGTGGAAACCACAGGGAATTAAGTTCCCTAGGATCCTTCAGGAGACAGCTGGATGAAATCCTTGTGAGCAGGTCTCCCCTGTTTGTGACTGCTTTTTTGCCCCTCTGACTTGGCTTTACAAGAATAGATAGCAGTTACTCAATCAAGAGGAAGTACAGTAATTCATTCACATCTCCCCCGTCTTAAATTAGTTTCTCCTGCTCTCTTTGAAGACTGTGGCACAGTGGTGACCCCCAGTGGCGGATTGAATGACGTTCATGAACGTTTTGTGCCGGCGGCTGTCAGTGTCAACTGTGTGATACTTGGCTTTGTTTTATACACCGCTTTTAGTCATGAAGCTGTGTCTTGGTGAACTGACAACTATCTAATAACAAAGACAGATGGTGATAATCACCACTGCTCATGGCTGAGCTTAAGGTAAAGTCCTTTTTACTGAACCAAATGAGGAACTAAGCATCTAAATACAATTTTCTTGGCAAATTTGCTATTTTTTCTTTTGTTTTTTACCATTCAACCCAGGGATGAAGGCAATGTCTTTAAACTGAGCCTATTCTTTGGAAAACGTTGGGACTGGTGGGGGAACATATTTTTCAAAAAATTCAGGGCAGGCGTAGTCAGTGATACATATGAGAGATGGTAAAACCCATTGGCCCTGGGGCAGGGTGGGGGTGGGAGAGATTCGAGATAAGAACACAAGCCAGGTGGGCAAAACCTGTCGGAGATTTTTTTTTAGACAAGCCTACAAGTGACACTGCGCAGCGGGAGGTTGCCCGGCAGTCGACTGTGTCGATGGCCGTGGTTTCTTTTCTTGCTGTAGAGGGCCGGGCCCGCGTTCTCGGAGGCGCCCGCAGGGGGCGCCCCGCTCTCCTGTGCGTTGCCGCAGCCCGGCTGCGCCTTCCCCCCTTTGTGGTTCTTCGTCTTTCTGACCCTGTCCTTGTCGTGCGGCTCGACGGGGGCCGGCGGGGCCTCCCTGGCCCCCTCCAGCGGCGGGAGGGCCTCCGGGGACGCCTCCGCGGGGGGCTTGAACTCCGCCTGGTCCTCGTTGGGGATGTTGAGGTTGGAGGTGGAGCGCTTGGCGTTGCTGGAGGCTGAGCTGCTAACCAGCGAGCGCGAGGGGGGCAAAACATAGAGACTTAGAGAGTGATGAAACCACATCCAAGATCCTGACTTTTATCACGACGTTCTCCCTGCGTTCGGTCAGGCTAATTTAGGGCCTATAAGTTCGCGTGATGTTTCTAGTAATATGGCAGTATAGTAGTATATTCTTGTATATACAATCATAGATACTAAATACTGTCTCTCAGGCCTTCGTGGGATCTTTTGATTCCCCCACACTGCAAGTTTCTCATGCTTAGTCATTTAATCGGACCTTTGATTGAGCAGTTGCCAAATTGGAAATTGCTTTTAAAAGTTGGAATCTGAAGTTTTGTTCAGTTCAAAGGGAAACCTCCAAGGATTTTGATGAGCAGGAAAAGGTAAAACAGAAGTTAGTTAGAATGAATCAGTTGTGAAGTCTTCAGATTTGTCACAGAGCTTAGCTAAACAGCACCTAAGCACCTGAAAACAGCAGGTGGCGGTGGTGCGGTGTCCCAATGCCAGGAGTAGTAACGTCCCTTTTGTATGTGAAAGGCTGCCTTACTGATGCTGTTGTTCATCTTGGCTACACTCCAACCAGAGTGTAAAGGCATTTGTGTTCCTCTCCATTCAGCCCCTGCTAAGTCAGCAAAACCTCCACCCCAGCATTCATGCAAAAACGCAAGCCAGACGATTTCACCTGGTCCTGACCCTCTCAGAACTGTACGGTTTGTGCATCGGATTGAGCCGAGTGGGTCACACGGTGCTGGGTGTGTGATTGGAAGGTCTCGCTTTGATCAGCAAAGAGGGGCTCAATCTTTCGAAGAACGTTTACAAATGCACTTGATCTCTGAATCCCACTCTCACAGCTCAGCTACAGCTTTCTGAATTGTTTTGAACCATGTCTGCGCCGCGTACCCTGTTTCTTTCACTGGAGAAAGCCAGGCTGTGGGAGGGTTTTGCTCGCGCATGCGCTCGGCCTGCAGCGCTGCTGGGCTTACCTCTTCGTGCTCCGGTCCTCGGAGTCCCTCTGCTCACTGCTGTACCGCAGCTCCGCGGGCGTCTTGAAGGAAAGGTCTTTCTTGCCCTTCAGCCAGTATGTCTTCATGTAGCCTTTGCCCTGGAGGAGGAAGACAAGACTCCTGGAGAAAAAGCCAGGTGCTGCTGAGAGCATGATTGCCTGTTCCTCCCAGAACTCCCCACTTTGGGCTTTTCTAGGTGTCCGTCAATTCGTGAGAAAAGCTAACTACTAGAGGGTGTCATTTAGTCCGTCACTGCTTGCTGTTTTCTTCTATGTTTCAGTCATTCTTTCACAGGATCAGGCCTAGCCTGTCTTGCAGGTTCACAGTATCTCTGCTTGCTTTAGGAATTCATGCTATACATTACTTATCTTTTGTGAGACCAAAAAGTATTTAGTGTGGGTGCCCAGTTGGTTTTGATGAGTCCCTGTGCTTTGCTCACCAACCTTATAACCTTTGAATCACTTAATGGATTTATTTTCTGAAAAGCTGAATACAGTACCTCTGACTAGAGTCAAAGTGACCCAACTAAGCTCTGACTCGTCCAGTCCACTCCCTTCTCCTGCCCTTCAGCTGTGGACATTGGGAAAGAGACGTGGAAGAACAGAGGGCCAGACTTGACGCCCCCCATCCATGCACACGTGAGCAGGGAAGCCGTGATGTCGAGTATTAAAGGGATTTTGGGAGATGTTGCAGATGTTCTCACAAGCTCAAATCTGGCTTCTCCGCCTTTAATGATGGCCGTGAGAAATCGAGGGAACCTTTCGCTTGTATGTTTCGTCTGCCGTGGGGTTTCCTGCTGCTGACTGCTGACGTACCTTGACGAAGATCTTTCCCCGCTCCTCAATGATGTACGGCTCGTGCTCCAAGTGGTCCTTAGTTGTCTGGCTGATGTGGATCTGCATTCCCTGCAGGGGGCAAAGAGCAGGATACCAGCAAAGGAGAAACGTCATGGGAGAGTTGCAGACCGAACTCCCTCATCAACCCCTTACTGGTCCTGGAGACTCCTTCCTGCACACAGTTTCTTTTTTGTAGCGGAAGTCTGTTAACTAACAAGCTCCTTGGTACCTCATTAGCTTAATCCAGGGCTTTTGGAATCCAGCAGTGGTAACCACAGTGCTGTCCATGTTGTGAATTGTGAAATGACATTTATTTTGGAATAGAGAATGGGTTGTCCTGCTGGCATTATTTTAATTGTTTTACTGGACAGCAGCTCCATGATTCCTGGGAGTGCATTCTTTTCCTTCATTTTGAAGTATTGGAAAGCATCTTTAATGTTAGTCGTGTGGGCGGTTTATTTCAGGAATCACTTGGTGCCATTATTTAGGTGTCCAAGGTTCACCCTCCAGGCCTTAAGGGCCACAGTGTGTATTTAGACCAGCAGCACCTGAAGAGCTGGGAGAAGCTGTTCAGTTGCTGCAGTTAATCCAGCGTCTAGTTGATTTAGGTAATTAGGAGACGATCACAAAAGACAGCATGGAGTCTCTGGCCCTCTGGGACTGGGGTAAGAGCAGTCCGAGAGGACTTGCTATTGCATTTGCATTTCAAGACTTTGCATTGTAATTACAGGATTTTTCCATTTTCTTCTGACCTGAGGATTTTTAAGGAATAATGAGTGTGGTGACTGTCCACCTGATCACGTTAATCATACGGGACTCAGCAGCACATTGTTTTTGAAATCTTATTAGGTGGGGAAGGAACTACATGCTGAGTCCGGATTTTAATCTAATTTGTCATGATTTAAACGTCTCTATGCCCTTTATTGTGGAAGGGGGAGAGAGGGTGCTGCCCTGGTGTGCTTCCTAAAGGTCACACATTTATCAGGTCTCTTCATTACTTTAACTTAAGATCTCTGGGGAAAAAAAAAATCAGCTTGGTTTTGAGTTGCCAGTTCTTCACTGGACGGATTTAGCTTTTTTCTTCGGTGGCTTCGGACGTTGGCCGTAGAGGACAAAAGATGGCAAGACCAGCCCACTAAACCTGCGAGGTCCCAGCCCTGGGAAAACGAGAGCGATCCAGCAGGCACGTTGTGTTCTTGGATGGCCGGGAAGAATCGTTTCTGCTCCACACGTGCGGCCCCGCCCTCTCCCCCCCCCCAACCCCCACAACGCTCATGTGCTCGGTGTCGGAACGGAGCTCTACGCACGCTCCCACTCACCACCCCGTTGCTCTCCATGCGGGACGCCGTGTTGACCGTGTCCCCGAACAGGCAGTACCGCGGCATCTTCAGCCCCACCACGCCGGCCACCACCATGCCGGAGTGGATCCCTGTGGGGGAGACGAGACGCGCAGGGTTACACCCCGCCGCCGCCGCGGGAGCCGGTTCGCAGGCGCTGTCGTTTCTCGAGAGGGTTTAACAGGCTTGAAGTAACAAGGAATGTCAAGGAAAGCCCTGAGGGCAGTGTAGGTCCTCGGCATCAGGAGCTTCACATGTCTGCGCAACCTTTAGAGTCTCAAGGGAGAAGCCCTGCTTTCCCAGCAGTGCTTTTTTTTTTTGTTACTAAATGCTTTTTGTTTCCATACTCTCACCTGTTCCTGCAGAGGGTAAACTGGCATGCATTCGCTCTTTTTCTCTCCAGTATATTCATAAAGCTTTAAAAGTGCAGACATAAGAGAGTATTATAATACAGTCGCTTCTTTAAGGTGAATCTACGTTCCACGGATATGAACTCCTGCTTCAGAGATTAATTAGACTAGATTCAAGTGATGTGGTGCCTGCGAAGCACTTTTGCTAACATTAATGGAGTGTTAATGAAACGAGCCCTGCTCACGATGAATTGCACGAAAGAGGTGCATTGTTCTTATGAAGAGCTCCTTTCTTAATGGATATTTCAGCACTGTCCGTCATGCGTTCGTCATTTGTAACCCTCAGACTGAGGCGTTACTGCTAGCGTCTGCTCGTTTTCATTCCAGGAGGCCGCCAAGGTGCAGCCGTCTGAAGGGATCGTTGTGATCGATCTCGGCGCTGTCACTGTTCTCCGACCCCAAGAGATTTCAGTCGACAAGTAAGTAACTTGAAGGGTGAACACGATGCGAAAAGGTCAGATGAAGTAAGTCATCAGCACACGTTAATTAAGAGGTCTGCTGGAGTAAATACAGACAACACCGGGGTCTGGAAAAAGTCTTAATCAGCATGTTATTGCTTACATTAAGGGGCTCAATTAACTAAACAGTGCTGTTGCTGTTTTGGCCTTTTTGGGCCCCTCTGATCCCCCTCCCTTGGACCACAGTTTGTCTTTCTGCTGATCTTGTAGTAAAGTGATTACGTAGTAAAGATTGTAGAAGCGGCTTGGAGCAGAAAGCTTGTCTGTTGAGTAGCTCTGGTGCAATACGGCACTAGGGTTACTCCAGCTGGAATTCTGTGACCAACCAGCTCCAGCCTGGAGCAGACAGGGTGTTGGAAATCCCCCCCACCCCCCAAAAAAAAAAATCAGGGCTAAATTAATAATCATAATAGTTCAGAGGCGGTCAAGCTTGGCACATCCAGTCCATTGCATTACAGGACTTACAACATTAAAAATAATGTAATTCCTGGATGAGGTCTTAATTACTTAATTAACAGATGCTGACAATCACTTTGATTTAGGATTAGTTAAAGCAAACTGTAATATACCTTTCATTTCTTAAATGGCTTAGAAGAACAGGGGTATGAAACTCCTTTGGTTTTTGCTACAGCTTGGGTCTCAGCTATGTAATTAGTGTAATTACCTCATTAATTGGATAGCAATTTAATACTTTTCTCCAGGCTCTCAGTATTTGTATAGATACTGCTTCCTTACTCTGCAGTGTCTTTTAACACATGCATGTTAATAGATTATGTGCCTAAGGTTGTGTTAGCAAGGGTCTGGAACAGGTGTAAAAGGTGCTGTATTTAGTCCATGCCATTACAGGACTTTGATCCGACCAGAACTTAATTGCTGGTTGGCCCCTTCTTTGTTTAATTGAGGCTGCTGGGTATTTCTAATGTGCTTAGTGGTTGGCTGAAGCACAGAGGAGCCGAGTTGCTGCCTGCTGGTGTGGTAAATGAGGGGTTGGGAGTTGGGTGTGGAATGTCCCCCAGCTCTCTCTCTCTCTGTCTTACCCACTCGGATCTGTATGTTGTCCCCTGTGGAGGGGTCCTTGAGGTGGTCGATGGAGCTCAGCATGTCCAGTGCCATATCACAGATGTGGTGGGCATGGAAAGTGGTCTTGTTGGGGACCCCAGCCACTACCATGTAGGCGTCCCGGATGGTCTCCACCTAGGAGGTGGGGGAGTCAGAAATTGGTGACCCTGTGAATATCACTGTGGCAAAGCAAGTCAAATACTGTCCCTTTGACATTCCACTCCACTTCAGATTTGTGGTACAACCACCTGCTTAATTGTATATAATTGAGCTCATTGCCGATCGAGCATTTGATTAGCTGGTTAAGAGAATCCTGCGATTGAATTGATTGTAATGAGGAGTTGTCTACTGTTTCATTGTTTATACCTTTTATTTCCGTTGCCACTGCCTTCATTGATGCTTTGATAATGTTAAACAGATCAGTGGATGTGTAACAGATTAGAAAGAGTGTTGAAGGAGAGGTCGAACATATTAGAAAAAGTGGGGATTTTACCTCCTGTTTATTCAAGCAAAATCATGTTTTATCTTCTCCAATGCTTAAAATACACAGAATTGTCTTGTAGAGTGAAGGTTTTAGTTTTGTTATGACTATTCAGTCTGAAGTGGCACTGTTTAGAGTAGCGGCTCTCCGGTTGAGTGATGAAGGGGGGTAGCTCTCCTAAACAATCTAATCTCTCCAGTCATCTGTTCGCCACAGAATTAACTTTTTGGGATGTGTGGATTCTGCATGATTTCATCCTTTTTGTAGGGAGGACTGGTGATGGGATGGTTCAAAGATTGCGTTCCTACTGGTTGCTGTATATCAAGAGATTATCTGCATTGTGTTTCTTCAGCATGGGCATTCTTGAAATAAGCAGGCGTCATGTTACTGAACACGACTCTTGAGTATGAGGGCAGCCTGGATGTGAAAAAGACTGGAGGGGAATTTGGGCACGAGAGTCTGTAGTCGGTAACCGTGTTCTGTGGACCAGTAGAGATGGACAAGCCTGTAAAGTTCAAATTTAGAACATGTCTTTTTGCAAAAACTTGTAGGGCCTGAAACAAGCTGCCCATACATATTGTTGACCCTGGCTACTTTCAAGAAATGGCTTAGTGAGATCCTTGGATTGGTTTGATACTAGCAAACTAACAAGATTTTAAACTTTTCTTTTTCTTGCCTCCTTTAAAAAATGTGCGGGTTTATCAGTTCTTAAATAGCTGATACCCCAGTGCAACAAGTTCGCAACATTGTTGCTCTGTGGATGAATGATCAGTGTGCAAAGATATCGCTCGTGCTGCCTTCCTTCTCCCAAGTGGCTCCGCTCACCTTGTAGACGTTGTGTTTCTCGCTGAGCGTGTCGAACACGATGTAGATCTCGTTCAGCATGTCCACCACCTGCATCGGCGTGATGTGGATGCAGATCTCATTAAACTTCACCACGTCGCTGAAGAGGATGGTCACATCTGGGAACACCTGGATCCCAACACACAGAGGGGCAAAGGAGAGAGTACAGACGGAGAAAAGGAGAGAGAGTGAGTGTGAGAAAGAGGGGGGGAGAGAGAAAAAGGGTAAGAAGATGGTCTGCTTCGCCGTCCTTTCTTAGAGTGATTCTGCTGTCTCTTGGCTTCTTTTCAGAAATGTCTGATGATCAGACATCAGTAGATAAAAGCCTCAACTGAACTTAAGTTTTCAAACCTTTTAAATCTCCCATGAAATTGAAGCTTCTATTCTGGAAGGAAACCTCGACCACTGGGCCTCAGAAAGTTTGCGGCAGAATCACGGTCCAGGCTATTTTGTTTTCCAAGTATGGAAGTCAGAGATGGAAAGAAGACTCTGGCTGCATCAACGTTCAATCAGTTTCATGTTGTATAAACTGGCCTTAAAGCAGTGTCTTTTGCAGACAGGTTAAAGGGACTGAATCTTTTCAGACCTAAACAGAGAATACTACATGGGATTTTTCAAAAAGTCAACTCAGAGGACTGGCTTCTGGACCAACGGTGAAACAAGCAAGAACAGGATGAGAATCCAAGGCTCAGTCAGCAACTGAGAATCCAAACGAGGAAGCTGGGCCAGACGCAGCTTCTCTCGTTAACCATCCCCCGCAGTCTCCCTTACATCCCTGCGAGTGGACCCGCAGCTCCGCCCATCTCACCACCTGGCAGGTCTCCAGCGCTGTGATGCCCTTGCGTAGGCGGTCGGCCACAGCTTTGGGGATCATGGCGTAGAGCAGTGAGTCGCCTCTCTTCTTCTCCTCGTCCAGCTTCTTGATGATCTCTTGCAGCTGGGCGTACTTCTGCTGCTCCTGGGGTGTGGGGTGGCGAAAGAGCAAGGTGTTTGTCCCTTAGGACACACAGATTGTCTGAGCCACTGGGGCTTTAGAGATGGTTGTGCATGTGCCGTGCTGTCTGGGCAAAATCCCAGATTCCACCAAAATGCTCATAAGGTGCTGTAGCTACCGCATCTCAAAGGAACTGTTTACTTAAAAACCTTGATCAAGCAAATTGTCTCTCTGTGACTGCTGAGACATGGCTGGACTTGTGAGCATGAGGAGCATGACAGACTCTGATTTCCTTTCCTGCTGACTTCAGTCCCCTGGATCCTTATTGATCCTCAACATGCAGCTGAGTGCCTCACACCACTCCTTATCGTCTCAGATTCCAATGAGTGTCATCTAAATGTTGACATGGAACTAGGCTGTGAACAATGTTCTTGCCTCTCGCAGGGGGCCGGCTTATTATTGGGTTCCTAATATTTTGGTCGATTTTTTCAGTCGTAAGCTTTTATCAATTTAAGTGTGTATTCACATTTGTAGTGTTGACCTGGAGAGAGCCCAGTTACTGGAGCACGTGGAGCAAAATACTTTAGTCAAGGTGGCAAGTTACAAGTCAAGCACTCTACGCTTTTGTGCAGTGTTAATCTTAGTGGGTATGATCTGGTAGTGAAGGTAAATGGCCTGTTAACAGGAGAACCCTGATTCAAACCTGGCTGGGCTCTGCTGATGAATCGTGATGTTGCCCTTAACCCACTAAGAAGCTTCTCCTGTCATGTTCTCTGAGTGCCATATAAAACCGAGGTCCTGTTGTAAGTGACTCTGCAGTGCCATTGCTCACTTCCTAGTCCTGTCCTGGTATGTGCTGTACTGTACCTGGTCCAGGGCTAGCTGTAGCTCGGCAGACTGCTGGGTCCCAGCCAGGATGAGCTCTCTGCTGGAGTCGTGGAGGTTGAGGTCATTCACATACACCCCCATTTTAATCATGTCCTCTACCGTCTCAATACTAGAGAGAGGTTGAAAGACAGTTGAAAGTTCAGGTGAATTGATCGTGTTGTCCTTTTTCTCCATACTAGACAATCATTTATGATGATATTTTTCTGAATCACTAGATATGAAGTATTAAGCAAATGAGCGCACACCCTATAACTGTAGAGCCCTAGACATTCAGACTTTATGGTCCTCTTCAGACAGCATCTGAAGGCCCCCATCCTCTGAACTAGATAAAGCACTAATTGGTTCAGTTAATTGAGATCTGGGCTGGAGCAAAACTTTAATCTGCAAGGTGAAGGTTGGAGGCCTTTGCTTATACGGTGTTAGGGTAGAGTGCTCACTAATTAATAAATGTCAGGACTGATAATTTCCTCATTTAGAAACATAATCCCCAGGTACAAGGTTGAGGGTACGCTGCTATTTCACAGGTTCGAGGAAGAAAGAGAAAACAGGCTGCAGGACCTGCTGCCACTGCACTTACATGGGTGTCCCAAGGAAGATGAGGGAGTCCCACTGAGGGACGTACTTCATCTGCCCTTTGAGGTGCAGCGGCTTCTTGGGGGGCTCCCGCATGTCCTCAAAAATGGTCTCGCTGCATTTCCCTAGAGGGCGAGAGAAAGAGTCTTTGTTTCCCGTTTGTTAGGCTTGGTTCTCGGCCACCCTCATCGTTAATCCAGATGGTCTATGACCGTATCTTACTGGGACGTGGCCTAGCAGAAGGAATGCTGGGAACTGGCCCACCTGTGACGGTCTGGAAGGCCAGGAGCTCAATGTCCTCCCCTCCGGAGTTGGCTGAGCTGTTGTACTGAGCCAGGGCACTGCTGTACTCCTGGTCTGTGCCCTTCAGTTCTTCCATGGCTTTGAGCTCTGCAGGGGAGTCGAGGTCACAAAGAATCACTCAATCGCAGGCTCCTCTAAACATGGCTTGCTTTCCTAAAACCTTGGCTTAAAGTCCCTTTACAAATGTGGACTCATGGATGTCTTCTCTCTGTCTCTTCTATTAGACTGCATGTCTCTGTAGTCTGTGTACCAGACGAAAGTTAATGGGTGTAACTCACATAAAAACAGTAATATATTAATGCTCAATGTATTAAGCTCAACAATGTATTAATACCCCAGTGCTGCAGACATTCTAAGATGAGAGCGAACAGTCCATTCAGCTCACATTTCAGTTCAAAGCTTTGTGTTGTTCCTCTACAACCTTTTACTGAACTGATCTGAAGGGTAATGAAACTCTCAAGGCAATTAGTCATCAGCTATGCCATGTAGTCATCGGCAGTAATTAGTCATCAAAGTCAGACTAATTATGGACTAATCATTAATCCGTCCATTCATTTTCTAACTGCTTTATCTGATTCAAGGTCATGGGGGAGCCAGAGCCTTTCCCGGCAAACAACAGGCACAAGGCAGGATACACCTTGGGTGGGATGCCAGTCTATCGTAGGGTATACACAGACACACAGACACGCGCACACCCACACCAAGGCCAGTTTTCCCAGAAGCCAATTAAACTACAAGTATGTTTCTGGATTGTGGAAGGAAACCCAAACAAATGCAAGGAGAACATACCAATTCAGTGCTGTTGGCACCCCAGGAATTGAACCTAGGGCCCCAGCTCTTTGAGGCAGCAATACTAACCTCTGCAACACCTTGCTGCCATTAATAATAGGCATCTGTCAGCTGATGCAATGAAAGAGACCCCACAGCAGAAAGAAAGCAGCCTTGATTTCTTACAGCACTGGATCCAGCTCATAACCTGGAATGTACAAACTGTATTCCAGCTAATGAGCCTCAACTGCAGAAGACCACTTCTGTACTCAAGGATTAGCTGGAACAAAGTGTTGCACCGAAATGAAAGAACCTTTGGACCTGAGCTGTAGGAGGTGACACTGTTTTGCCAGTACCTGAAAGTGAAAGTGGATGACTAATCCCTGTGCTACTCCTGTGCAGTGCTGTGCTTGTGCATCACTGCTTGGAGATTCTCATTCGGACTGTGCTGTGCTTTTAAAAGGACATAGGCTCAATCTCTCATCTTCTGGATTACAGAGCCCAGCCTGTGCTGAGAGTGTTTAAGCCACTTGAGAGCCCAGGAGCCTGATACTTGTTATACAGAGTACGCAGCACACATTTTGCTTGGCAAGGTACTGTGTTTCTGAGCAGGAAAAAAGGGTCTGAATGAAAGGAAGAACAGTGGATATACATGTGATGCAGAGTTTTGTGCAAATGGAGGTACCTCTCTCTTCTTTCTTGGGTTTTTCGCTCTCTTCCTTCTCCTCGGCTTCCTCTCCTTCCTTCTTGCTCAGTTTGGGGATGTTCATCTTCTGTTTGCTCTCGACCACCGCTTTGGACAGCAGCTCGAAGACGTTGTTCAGATGAGTGTAGATCTGAGGACAGAGCGGCATGGTCACAGGTCCCAGACAGAGGAAGAGGGAGAGGCGTTGGGGCACATGTTTGTGTCCTGCTAGAAAGACACTTGGGGACAACTTAGGGCACTAAGCAGTCTTGCCTTGTGGGAAAATGGAGTTTTGCAGAAATGTACTGTACATATCGGCACTTACAATATATCCCTTTCTCCACTTGTGGTCATGGGCCCGAGCTGTGGTTCCTGATCTCTTTTTTAGGATGTGAAATACAGACACCCACATCGTTTATATAGAGCATTTCTGCGGCACGTTTTTATACATCTTCGAAAAGAATCATCTCTTCTTTACTCCCTTGCCCCTTCCCCCCAAATACTAGCTTGCACATCCATTGGTGGTTGAAATCTTTTCCTAATTTATTACGTTAAACCTTTTTTATATTTTAGCATTCTTTTGACTGCATTGTTGACCTGACCGGTCGCCCACATTGGCTGTTGACAGAACCTTGTTCCATTTTAAGTCGAGAGAAACAGTCACCTGAACAGAAAGACAGTCAAACAATTGCGAGGCCAGGCTAAACAGTGCCAGGCAGGCTTGAGGTAGCAAGAGACAGACATGCGGTTCCGGATGACCTCCAGAGAGGGACAGCATGCGCCTGTCCGGAGAGGGCCACAGACAGCACCAGAGGCAATTCCGTGCATATTCACATTCACCCAGTTAAATCCCTGAGAGGTGACAGCACGCAGGCCGCACTCACGTTGTCCCAGCTGAACTCCAGCATGGGCCGGACCAGGGTGAACTCCTCGTTGAACTTCTTCCCCTGCAGGTCGGAGAAAACCTCCTTGAGGCCGTCCCCGATCCGGTACATGGTCATGTCCCTGCGGAAGATGACGCTGAAGGGGAACATGTCAAAGAAGATGCCCCTCTTCATCGGCAGCTTCTCGTAGCCTGGCGCCGTCTTCTGCTGTGGCATGCGATGCTTGAAGGCGGCGTTGTCGAAGTTCATCTTGTAGACCTTAAGAGCAGAAAGTGCAGAATAGTGTAGGGAAAGTGGTCAGAGGATCTTTGAAAGGCATATGCCCCCTTTTAAAAACAAAAAAATCCAGAATTGCCAGTTTTTCAAGATCTTAGAATTTGGGAATCGGTGTGGGCTGCAGTTGGAAACTTAGGATTCTCTGGTTAATTGGGACAGAAATCCATTGAAATTGAAACTCCTGACATTTAATTATCAGGAAGATGGCTATGGGTGGGGGGTGGGGTGTGGGTAAGGAAAGATTCAGGGAAAACAAAAGTGTGTTGCTCTTCACTCACCACGTAGGTCATCTTTTCCGTCTCCTCTTTTGATAGGATCTCCACCTCGATGTCTGTGTTGTAGAACTGGCGGCCCACCTGGGACAGCTGTCCTGGGGGGTTGGGGCAGGGTTTTGAGAACACAGGTGATGGTGTTATTGTCTGTTAGAGGCGCACAAAAGACAATCTGATGCTGGACTTGCGTTTCCCAGCAGATACTGAAAGTTTAAGAAGACTGGTGCTTTGATGCTCTATGAACCATTGCATTATGTATGCTAAGAGCAAATCCAGAACAGGTTTAAAAAGTTATTTGTAGTGTTGCGTATGCCATTTGGTTAAACAGTGTGAGCACCATTACAGTGACGCCACTAACCTGGACTCCCAGCAGAGTTCAGGCCTCCTGTGCCACATGGGAAGAGTGGCTGGATGTCTGGTATGGTGCTGTGCAGCCCCAAAGCTCAGACAAGCTTAGGAGACAGATCCAGCTGCACATGACACACTGGCAGTGCTCTTAACCATGCTTTTTGTGGATGAAAGTGTGCAACGCCCTTGTTTCACATGCTGCTCCATATGCTGTAGGGGAGATACTGACGGGGGTGGCTGTACTGTGTTTGGGAGCAGAGTTTCCCAGAACGTGTCCCTTGTTTCCAGAATCCTGCCCTCTTTAAGGCAGGGCTAGTTAAATTGATCCAGTTAAGACTAAACTAGACCAACGCATCTCTTGTTCACGGCCTTAAGCTGCTGCTGATCTAATGGAGACAAAAAACCTAGCTGAGATCAGCTCTCCCCCAGGGTGGGGGGATGCGATGGCCTGTTTCAGGCCCTCTGGTCCGAGACCCGTTGGCGGTGCCGGCCTGGGCTGGCCATGGGGCGCCTACCTTTAACAAACTGGGTGAAGCCCTTTCTCGTGCTTCGGTAGTGCAGCGTCAGGCTGGTCTCGCACTCCTCCTCCACGCAGAAGCTGGGCGGCTGGACTTTGGGGAAGGAGAAGCGGAAGTACTCGTGCAGGTTGTCCAGCTCGTTGATGAAGTCTCTCACGTTGCGGCCCAGCACCTGACGGGGGCCGAAGAAAGGAGAACGCGAATTCCGATGCAGAGGTTCAGACTAACGTTTATGTATTGAGTTTTGATCATTCTTCAATTGGTTTCATCCCAGTTGTAATCTATATAACAACTGGAATTAAACCTTCCACATTATAATGAAGGCCTACTTTAAAAACTTCAATATGTTTTATATTGTCCAAATATACATTGACAAAATGTATTGACAAAATGTCATTTTTGCTCACATACATAAGATGCTTCTCTAATGCTACTGACTCCCAAACAAGTTGGGTCCTGCTAGGCTGCTAGTGTAATGTAGGACGTAATTTAAGGAGCATTCAGGACTTTAATGTCTCTTATGTCACCCTTCATATGTACTTGAATCTCATGTGTTTTAACCTTTAAAAAATGACGGCCAAGTAAATGTGAAACTCCTGAGATGTCAGTGAAAATGTCCCCACTTCTTCTTGTTAAAGTCTTCTACAGCTTTCTTGTTTTGACAGAGATATGGTACTCTGGTGGTTTCCCAGGCTGTTGCCCTTTTCATTTCAACCTCCACGGCAATTAATCCTCCATGTCCCACCCTGCAGGGCAGTTAATCCTATAGAAGCCTACATGTCCCACCCTGCAGGGCAGTTAATCCTATAGAAGCCTCCATGTCCCACCCTGCAGGGCAGTTAATCCTATAGAAGCCTCCATGTCCCACCCTGCAGGGCAATTAATCCTATAGAAGCCTCCATGTCCCACCCTGCAGGGCAATTAATCCTATAGAAGCCTCCATGTCCCACCCTGCAGGGCAATTTATCCTACATGTCCCACCCTGCAGGGCATTTAATCTTATAGAAGCCTCCATGCCCCACCCTCCAGGGCAATTAATCCTAAACAAGCCTCCGTGCCCCACCCTCCAGGGCAATTAATCCGATAGAAGCCTCCATGCCCCATCCTCCAGGGCAGTTAGTGCTCCAGAATACTTTTTTCTCACCTTGAGGATCCTCTCGTAGCCATAGTTGCCGATCCTCTTCACCATGTAGACCCCGAAGGCGTACATCAGCTCGTCGTGCGTCTTCCCCAGCACCTCGCCCGCCGCCTTGGCTAGCCGCAGGATCAGGTTGTCGCTGTGGGACAGAGGCGCCACAAGAGTGAGCCTTCCCCTCTCAACAAATAGAGCAGTTTGCCCGTAATGATGTAGTGCCATATTCAGGAGGCGTTTACTACCCGTTCAGGTGGGATCGCCAGCTATTATGTTTCCCATTAAGTACCGGGCCAGTATTGGTTTAAGACTTGGCGTCACGGCCACAGGGGAGAATGAGGACCTGTGATGGCGCTCTTCCGGCATGGACTACCGTTTCGTCAGCTGACATTCTGCCAGCTGGGCTGCACCGTACCTCGAAATGGGCTACGTGGACCGCAGAGCTCGGCCTGCGCCCTGAGCGAGCCCCTTTAGTGTCGGAAGCTTTAGTGCTTCCTTGAAATTTTTGCTCCGTCCAGCCAGGACGGCCGAGATCATCTAACTCGGGACCAGCTAATGCTCTCCTCCCCACTCAGGGCTGGTGTGTGGGGAGTGTACTGGTGCTCTCTGGCTGCTGTCACATCATCTGGGTGTGGCTACACACTGGTGGTGGTGGAGGGGAGACCCCATTAGCTGTAATGTGCTTCGAGTGGAGTGTCCAGGAAAGCGCTGCATAAATGTAAGGATATTATTATTATTAAATTCAGCAGCTCAGCTGTTTTGGTAAACGTAGGGGGACAGGCGGCCAGATATTTTTTTGATGCCAACGCAGACCTGTGATTTTTGCTGATCAAGTAGAGCAACAACATGATCTAGATAGTAGTGACAAGAAAGAAGAGGCCCAGTAGAGGAGGACCATGCTTGGGCCAGAGTGCTCTCCATCAGAACTGGGGCCTCTGGCTTTGGTTCCCAGGTGCGACAGTGAGTGGGGTGGAAGGGGAGCAGACTAGACAAGTGGACCCCTACTTGTACATCTGGTGGCGGACGAACTTGAGGTGCGGGATCTCGGCCCGCGCCTCGATGAGCCTCCAGACGTCTTCGCCGTACGACTCGTTGATGTAGTCGTTCACCGCTTCCAGATACAGCCCATACATCTTCAGGGGATTGGGAACCTCCACGGTTTCTGTCCAGTTTAACTGCGGCTGTTGGGGCACGAGAAATGCGAGATGGGGGACCCGGTTACCTGTCTGTCCCAAGAATCACACTGGTCCTATCCCCACCCGCAGACACGCTCCCCAACCAACGTGGTCTTTAGATCCCTGGAGCACAAATGGCCAGGATATTAGGAACCTCTGCCAAGAAGCGAGAACATCTGGCACAGGTCATGGGTTTGTTTTCCATGAAGTTTCTGAAATCATTGCAGCCCGACTCTCATCCCATTCTTTTAGCCTTTAGAGAAGGTTGTACCAAGGGTTAGTGTCACACAGGTGTTGGGGGGGGGGTAGTTCCTAATATTTTGGCCAGTGGGTGGAAGCAGCCTCAATGATTTGTTTTTGTTCTTTTGGCATGAAGTTACCTGTGCAAGTAGCTTGCTATAACATTACTGTCTTCAAAGGGTGACCCCCTCCCCCCTTGAAAATGATATCGTGCTTTTACTCTCGAACGCAGATCAGGTCCTGCACAGCCCTCGTTAGAGAGTACCGTAGTAGGCTGTATTGAAAATACAGCAGTCACAGTGAAGACGTAGAAAAAGAAGAGACTTAAAGTACCCCAATGAGTCTCAGAGTTGTGTAGTAGTTAGAGCACAGGGCACTGGGATGGAGTGATCCATGGTACAGAACCACCCTGTAAGTTTACCCAGTTTACTTCATAGGAGAGCCTGCTTACTACCTGAGTTACTGTCTTTTTGGGGACATAATCTCAAATCTCACACGTAGTGGAGACATGCTTGCAGCGTTGTTTGCTAATCAAATTGCTGTCTCCTTTAAAAGAAACTGCATTAGTTTTTTTAGCTAAGATCCGACTCTTGCCTGCATTACACAAATGTCGCTCTGGTCCTTTGCTAATTAAATAATTGGCTCTCCGCAGTGCCGTTGACGGCTCTCAACGTGCGGCTAAGGACCTAAATAAACGCGCTCCGGCCAGAGCTCATCAGAAGCTCGTTAGCTGTAAAAAGAGCTCTGATTAGCGTTTTACATGGCCTTGTGGAGGGGGCCTATATTCCATTTCTACCCATCAATCAGCTCAGCACTGCGTAACCCCAAGAGCCCCCTGATGCACCAGCCATTAAGAAGCTATCCCTGTGGCATGATTAAGTGAGGCAATGGAAAATCACTCTTGCTTTTTTTGAGTGTTGCTTATGCTGTTTTGTTGTCTGACCAAGTCCTCTCTACACTGGGCTTGCTAGTCTGCCGGCTGGCTGCAGATTTTCATTTCTGAAACAAATTCCCCCGGATCACCTGTTTTCGGATCACGCCATCATGGTAAACGTCTGGCTTTTCTTCTGCACATTTTCAAACCAGCGGGCTCGATCTGTGGTTCTTCCCTTCGGACATGCTTGGCTGCCGCACCCCAGATCCCCGATAAGCTGTAACAGTCTCCCCCCAAAAAGCTCAAAAAAGGTAGTTTCACTTACCCCCAGCCTCTCGGTGCTTTGCAGACAGAGCTCCGACTGACTCGGTCCATGAGGAGGAGGAGGGCAGGTTTCCCAGGGTGCCCCTCTCCCTGTCTCCATCCCCCGGGTGGTCACCTGTTTGTGGCATTTCGGCCTCTCCAGGCTCATTCCTTGTCATGTCAATGGCTCTCCGTGCTAAAAACGGGAGCGCCGAGGCGTGTTTCTGGCAGGCGCCGCGGGAGGGGCAGGTCTGTGGTGACTGATGTTACGCGGGGTTCAGCGGCTGGGCTGGGGGAGGGACGGGGCAGTTAATCAATTAATCCGTCTTGTAGCAACTTCAGAGCTTGTAGTTGCGATCTCACTTGCTATGTAAGTACCCAGAAGTGCACAGAAACAATGGGAACGGTGGGGAAGAACGGGCATTTGTATTAAATGTAGGTGGACCTGATACTGTAACTGCACCATATTGCCAGTGGAGCTCAGTTAGTGCTGCCAAGTCTGTCTTGATTTATGGCTGAAACATCTGTTGACATCCTGATTTGTGCGTCTTTCCTTCCATTTATTTACTTGAACATGAAGGATCTTTTGACGCCCCCTCCCTCTCCCGTTTTGATGCTGTCAGGATCCAGGCAGCCGTGTTGATGGTTTTGTCATCAGTTAATCGCTTTGCCAGCATGACATGAAAAGAGCAGGGGAAGTCCTTTTGAAACGGAGAGTCGCCCCCTGGGACTGCCTCTCGGCGAAGTGCTCGCGTCTTCACGTGGCGTGCGAGTCTCGGGCAACGTTTTGTTTTCCCCAGCGAAGGAACATGTTTTAAGCCTTGTGTCAAATCCAAGGAAACTGGGTCTGCTGTGTATGCAAACACTATTTATTCACTGATCCATTTCCCAGATTCCCTCGTACGTTGCATTCGGGAGGGGGCATGCCGTGACTCAGCCAGGGCGCCCAGGCAACAGCAAGGCCTTTATCATGACCAACACTTGTGCTGTTGCAGTGAGCAAGATCAGCAGCAGAGCACTGATATCTGGCGGGGAGCTTTATTAACTGACATGCATATATATATTTTAAATCGTATTATATATTTTTTTTATGAAGACATTTTGGACACTTCTTTGTCTAGGGATTTAAATGTGCTGTAAGAGCGCCCTAAGTGAAGTGTTTCGCTTCGATTTCGTCATCTCGATTTGCTTACAGGACCCTTGGGTGCCTTTGTTGGGCAACACCAGGGGCAGTTTTGAAAATTGATTATGAGCCGTGGGGGGGGGGGGGAGGAGGAAGCGTCTTAATTTCTGGTTTCTCACAAAAAAGTCAGCCACAGCCCTTCAGCTTTTGACACAAGAGCTGCGCCAGCCCGCCGTGTGGCGTCTCACCCCTGGGCTTGTCAGAGGCAGCTGCTCACTGTGGGGCCGAGGCCGGTTTAACCCTCTTGTACCTTCTGCCAAAGCACCAGGCTTCACTTGCATGGGCAGCACTGGTAACGTTACGACTGCGGCTCAGAACAAAACCTTTAAAAGAGTAATTCCTTACACTTCTATAGCGCTTTTCTGGACTCTCCTCTCAAAGTGCTTGGCAGGTAATGGGGATCCCCTCCACCAACACCAGTGTGTAGCCCCACCCGGATGATGTGACAGGTTAAAGTTAAACCTTTGGGTTAAAGCGCATCTCCGTGTCCTAAATCACTGCTTCCTTTGTTTTGCTTTCATTGTTGCCTGAGGGATCCTGTTATCCTGTTTAGGTTACTGTGAGCTGGGGTCAGTGGTTGTAGGCCCCCTGAGCATGTGCTGTAATCAGAAGTCTTTTGAACTGCGAGGAGTTGTACATAGCTGGTTATCGCTGGATGTGGGGTCAGGCAGTAATGTCATTTGGATTGGGCTGGGTACATGGCTAATTTTTTGGGTCTGCCTGGTGGGGGGTCCCCAGAACAGGAGTGTCTAACCCTCTTCCTGGAGATCCCCGGTCCAGTTTGTCTTATTGGTCACTCAGTCTTTTCAGGTTTTTGCAGAGATTAGGATCACTTTGTATGTTACAGTATCATTCAGTTAAGTAATCTGTTCAGTTAAGGGACCTTTGGTCCTTGGTAACTGAACAGTCTTGAGATTTCTATCCCTTCTCTCAGTGATCACAGTGGAATAGAAATTGATGGCTTCGTGGTTGCCGATTAAAATCTTCGGTGAAAGATCCCTGAGCTAGAAGGTTTCCCACCAGTGTCCAAGGTCACAGCCACCCCCCAAGACACACAGAACATTATCTCAATACACTGGGCGTGGATTTCTTTGAAGAAAGATTAGGTGGAAAATGGAGAGTGGGTGGGCTGCCCCTGGCAGGACCAGGACACGGTAGGAGAAAAGCACCAAGTCCTCCCCTTGAGAGCAGGCTTGACCCTCTTACGCCACAGTGAGCTGCTGTTTTTACCATCTTCCTGAGGTCCCAGTGCTCCTCCCCAGGCTCCCCCTATTTTGGAAGATCCACCTAAAACTCTTTAACCTGAAGACGCAGCTTCCTTCACAGCCTGTTATTTTAACCCCTGCAACCTGTCCTAACTGTCCTTCCTGTAAGGGTTTGTCAGAAGCTGACAGGGAGGAAGTGAGTCAGGGAACAGCTTTGCTGTCTTACACCATGTTGAGTCCTGTCCGTGAGGCACTGTGTACTTAACCAGAAAAGGTGCAGACCTGCTTCTGTCACGTGCTGCCTGCTGTCAGTAAATGGAAACAGGAAGATGATTGTGAAAGAAGAATTGAGATTTCAAGCTTCACAATGCTACGGGAAGCCAGAAAAGAGCGCTCCTCAGACTGGAAATATTTATTTTTGCTGCAGTCAAAGTCAAAATTAAACCAATTTTCCCTGTCTCACAGTGTCGGAAACCTGCGTTTCTGCACGAGCTGCTGTGTTCATCTTGGGTGACACCGGAATTATGAATCCATCCATTAAAAAGACCGTCAGCCCTCGGTAATTAATCTCGGTGACAGCGATCAGATTACAGGGAGATAGAGTACGGCATTACAGGATAATCTCTTCGATATAAAAAGACCCTGGCACGGCTTTCTCCGTTATAATTTCGGGGTGGGTGGGTTGAAAATCAATTTGAAAAGAGAAAAAAGTAATTAGATGGGGAGAAGAAAAACTCTCAGATGAGAGCTTCAGCAAGGGTTAGGATTAATGATTTGAATGTTTGTATCAGGCTTATCATCTCAAAATTCTGCTGCCGCTGAGCGCAGTGAAAGGCAGGGCTTTCTGAGGCCACAGTGGAGCTCATTAGTTAAGACAGATGAACAATGAGCCACTTAGGATTTACATGCCTAATATGCAGATTGGCTCTACCTTCATGAAGCAGAAAGATTTATTGTTATAGTGGCACTTGCTGCCATTACGGTTATAAATGGGATGTTTTTTTTTTCGTTTCTCCTCAAGTGGATCGACCTTTGTACCATGACCTTTTAAAAAACGCAAAAAAGTTGGATTTAATTGCAGCAAAAAAAATACAAATCTGTCGCACGAGGCTAGTTGTTTCGTTACTAGAAAATGTTCTTATGCATAGAAGTACAGCCAGCTGCAAATGTGACATTCATGACATTGCCTGATGCCTTTTCTTATCTTAACTTTTAACATGCGAGAGCCAGCTTTCTTTATGGAGTTGCTCTATTTGGTATGCTTAACATTAGCACTGTTGTATTTTCTATGCTGCATTTAGTATGACTAACCCGGTTTTCGGTGTTAAGTAATGATTAATGCGGTTCATTGTCCTAAGCAACATATCCAAGCTGGGAGAACGTGCATACTCCACACACAAGGTGTCGCAGTCTGGAATTGAGCCCCGAGAGGCAGCGCAAACCCCTGTCAGCCTGTTATTGAGTTCAGTGGAAATGCTCCTCATCATGGAAAACTAGAGATCCACCTCCTAGCCCTCAATTTTAATAGGAAACCAGTCTTAAGATGGTTACTCTATAATCATGACTCACAGATTGGCAACATGAGTGATTTTTAAACATTTGCCTTTTACTATCATTATTAATCAAGTCTGACAGTCAGTTTAGAATTCGTAATGACATTTGTGTAGAGAGCTTCTGTGTTCCAAATGTTTAAAGGATCGTTTATGTAAAACTACTTCCTGTGGAGGTCTTGACGCAATTAAATCATTGCAAAACTTTCCCCACTAGGTGTCCTCAGCCATCTGAGTTTTAGCCTCTTCTACTCATTTAGCTATTTATGTATTAGGTACAGGACTGGCAGGGAAACAAATTATTGCCTAGTGATTTCAGCCAGCCGCAGTCTCCAGTACCCACTGTGCTGATGAAGCAGAAAAACTGTGTTTAGCTCTGCACATCTGTCTGTGCAAATGCATCCAGAATAAGGTAACAAGCTTGGAATATCCAGAGCCAGGGGCTGGCTTGTACACAGCAGCCTGTAGCTCCTAAAGCTTGAAGCGCATCTCTTTGCTTTGCCATAGGAAGAGTTCTTGTTTTCACTGGTATATTTTTACCCTTGAGGATCTTTTTACATTTGCAATGCCTTTGTAAACCATCAGTTTAGATCAAATGAAAAAATAGCACAGATTGTGTATTTCGTTTTTACTTTATAACTGCTGATCGAAGCCATTGTGACCAAGTCTTGGTGCAATAATGTATTTAAGCAATAGGTGTCACTTTTGCACCCCTCTCAGACGGAAAGTGAAGAGCATTTTGGAAATGTCTGGACAGCTGCAGTGACTGTGCCTGCCTACAGAGAGTGGAGAGAGTTAACTGTTGGGGATTAAGTGAAGATGGCCGTGCTTAAAAAGTTCCCTTTGACCTGACAGGGCTCTTTATGTATTCATTGTAGCATAGAATGAATATATATTCATTGAACCCCCCTAGTGTTAGAGAGCTGCAAGGTCTTGTGAGTGTTTTCAGTTTAGTTTCCTAATTAACTAAACCTGCTGCACACCAGTCATCAAGACCAATGAGATCTGCAGAAACTGGTACAAGTTGCTAGTAAATATGAAAGACCAGGACCCAGTGGGAAGAGCTATGTAGGAAAAGTGTTTTTCCTTTTGAAAGAACCTAAAAGCTCTTTGTGATGGTAGCCTGGATGCACGCCACGGGTTTCTCATTTCCTTTTCCTGGAGGATCCCTTCTGATCCTTCTTCCGATTTTCATTCTAGCTGAGCTATTCAGCAATAAAGCTTTTTGAATTCTTAATTCAGCTGTTGGCTTTTTAAAAAAAGTTTCAGCTCTTGAAATAGTACAGCAAGGTTAAAAAAGATCATAGATCCGGTGGGTGATGCAGGGTTTCAGATCACCCCCCGGATATATGGTTTCAGTGATTTAGTGGGGATTATCCTACAGTACAGGCCTTTTGTAGCAGAGTGCTTATCTTGGTGGTGCTGGAGACAGTGCCATTTCCCCCCCATGCATGTTCATCAGTGTTTTTAAAACAGTTTGGGCTTATTTAGGAAGTCCTGGGGGAGCAACAGTCCTGAAGACACTCCGAAACAGACTTCTGTTTGCTGTGTTTCTTGGAAATTAGACATGAGAAGGAGAAAAGTTCTGAATACAGAAAACAGATGGAAATCAAACAGTTGGCTCAACTAAGGCTTCAGTAAGCTTCATTAATCATGGGCTGTGCTGGAGTGAAAACCTGGGAGACCGGAATCCTCCAGGAGCAGGATTGGGAAAGGCTGAGTTTAAACAATGCAGGTGGCCCGGTCTGAGTTCTGCTGTGCGGCCGGTTCCTTTTCGGGTTTTTATCAGCCGAGGGGACTCTTGCAAAGATTATACTGATGAGGCAAACTTAGTCAATTCAACACCAGGGTCTGTCAGTGCAAGTTTCCTTAGAAAGAGGTGATGTGCTGTACTTACCTGCCACCTGGCACTGGCTGTATAAAAGGCACCAGAACATGGCCTGGTGTGCAACGTAGGGTTGCGTGTCATGCAGCCATATCAAACCTGCCACGTAGGAGGCCTTTTCTCTTCAAAAGTAAAACCAGCTGATCTGTCAAACAGCCAGAAGAGGAGGAGGAGGTGTGTGTGCGTGGGGGGGGGGTGCAGCTGATATCCAGATGTGTCCAGCAGCTGGTGTGCGAGGGCATCATCTGAATGCCTCTAACTGAGAGTCTGTTGCGGGGGGGGCACTGTGACTTTCCGATGGGGGGGGCTGGAGGTGGCAGATGTGATAAACAGCCCCCCCACTTCACACCCCCACCAGTTCACCCGGAACATAGGAAACCTGCAGCTTTTTGTTGCACTCGTCGGCCGCATCCGACTCTGCAAGAAGGATGCAGGTGGTAGAGGCGGGCGAGCAGGCGTTTCCATGCTTGTCCTCGGGGCGGTCCGTGAGCCATGCGTGTGGAACAGGATTGAGCAGACTGTTGTGTCCCCTCCGGTGGGGACCCCCATGCTTCATTCACCCCTGTAAAGAAACCAGAGCCCTCGCCTGCCAAGATCTTCATCGTCTCCCTGACGGCAGACGTTTTTTTATCTTCGGTTCGCGAGCACGGATCCACAAAGGAAGACCATGTCAATTCTGGATCAGGCCTTGCCTGTTAGATATGGGCTGTTTGCTGTTTCTTGTGCGAACTGTGCCCAAGCACCAGTGATGACAGAGTGCCACCGAATGTGCACTTACAAAATAACATTGTGCGTGTGTTTGGCAGGAGGCAGGACAGTGATTGGCACAGCAATGTTCTCTGTTTGACTTTGTGTTCTTTAATTCATTTTCATGTTTCAGCGTGCTCTTCTGAACGTGTGGATTTTGTGTTTTTCCAACCATTTAATAACATTAAATATCCGAACTGAGAAACAGCGTAGTGTAGCCTTTTCCTTTTCAAAAATCCTTGGTCTGTTTGTTTAGAATTTCCTGCTCATCACCGTGAGAGATGGGATATAAACAAAAAATAACCCCTATATTGAATAACTTGTGGATTTGCAAGACTGCATTTTATATTGTTTCCAATCTATGTGGCCTCCTTTTTCAGGAGCAACTGAAGGCATTGGAGAGGTCATTTGCGTGTTGAAACCTTTCTTGGCAGGTCTGAAGTTGGTCACTTTTGTTTTAATGAGTGACTCCCCAATAGATAGGCCATCCTCACTCAAACCAGGGATATTAGGGTTCCCTGGCGGTCCTCAGGGGTTAGTCATGGGAACCAGCCCCTCGAAACAAAGGCTAATCGTTCCTCCCTCAGGTTAGCAGTGTATAAAATCTTCACCTGCAGGCTGTGGATCCTCTGACAGTGCTTCTGCTAGGTCTGGTACTAATGTCTTGCAAGAAACGGCAGATTTGTAACAATCACATTTGCTTTTAATTTTATGCTGAAACTGGGGATCTGTACGAAGCATGACCTTTTCAAAAGGGTTCCATGAGAAACAAGCAACTGAGTGCCTCTCCTGCAGAGGACTGAGCTGTGTGTCTAAAAAGCGTTGCAGACTGAAACTGAAACCGTGGTGCCTTTTGTATGTGGGTGTGAAATCTGTTTTACCTGAGGATGTGTGTTAATTGAACACATGCTGTGCACATGTGAACAAATTGTTCACAATTGTTGTGTGGAGCCTGCACAACCAAACAGAAGAGAAACCGGAAACCGCACGTTGTTCTAGATGCTCGTGTCTTTCGACTTTGTGACAGACACTATGGCAGGTGGCTGATGGGATTGTGTGGCACTAATTGGCATGTAATAGGCAACACAATGGGTTTATTAATGACAAAAACAACATCAAAAGAAGCAAAGAATGTAACAAAGGATTTTGAGCTAATTAGCATCACAAGGCTTAATTACTGACGTGGGGATACAAACCCCTTTGTGTCATTGACAGGGTAATTAGTGGAGCAATAGAAGAAGTGTAAGCCGGCGGCAGGCTGCTGAACACCGAGCCTGTGTGAGTGGATCGTGTGAGGACAGACATTTAATGCCAATTAAAGACGCCCTCTTTTGTTTTTCCTTGTATGTTTACCTGAGGAGGTTGCAGCGTGCACAATGTTTTATTCCCTAGTCTGCTTTGGTTAAAGCCGTGCCCCAGTCTGGCAGTGTGTTTGGCCCATCTTGTCCCAGTCTGGCAGTGTGTTTGGCCCATCTTG